AGCAGCGTACTCGGCATGTGGGCAGCCGAGTTGGGATTGGCGGAGGAGGACTATAAAGGAGGAGAGAGACGGCATGCACCAGGAACATCTAAGGGGAACATCTGAGGGAACACCTGTGCAGCCCCCAAGAAAGCCGGCCTGCGGTGTGCCGCTCCCCTGCGGAAGTGGGGAATGTGGCCAGGGGGAACTGCCCTTCCACGGAGGTGGAAGGGATAGTAGCCAACCCGGGAAGAACCAGCAGCAAACCCGGGGAGGGCCGAGCAGACGAAAGAACAGCGCAGGGTCCTGTGTCGTTCCTCCACGAAGAGGGGGAGCGACAGGAGACCAGGAAAAGCACCTGGGTCCTGGCTCCTGCCATCGGATCAGCGTGGTGCGCTGTCCGCAGCGCGCCGGCCGCGGCGGCCATTGGAGGGTGAACCAACGGCAAAGGAAGACCTTTCTCTCTGTCTCTCTCTCTCACTGTCTACTCTGCCTGTCAAAAAAAAAAATATATATCTTTAAAAAGTATGAATCTTGGGGCGCTGGATTCTTTCCCGGTTGCCCCTCTTCCAGGCCAGCTCTCTGCTGTGGCCCGGGAGTACAGTGAGGATGGCCCAAAGTGCTTGGGCCCTGCACCCCATGGGAGACCAGGAGAAGCACCTGGCTCCTGCCTTCGGATCAGCGCAGCACGCTGGCCGCAGCGCGCCAGCCGTGGCGGCCATTGGAGGGTGAACCAACGGCAAAAGGAAGACCTTTCTCTCTCTCTCTCTCTCACTATCCACTCTGCCTGTCCAAAAAAAAAAAAAAAAAAGTATGAATCTATTAAAAGTGGTCTCTGTAACTTGTTCTCCTGAGCGTACCACAAGAAGCGAGCTCTGCTTTCTAAGTGAGTATGGACACATGGGACGCACTGTCCTGAGTCACCCTGGCAGGTGTCGCGTTTCCCCATTCTACAGATAAGGAAACTCAGGGGGAAGCTAGATCTGGGCTATTTCATCCCATCTTTTGCATATCACTCTATAGAAACATAGCTTATTCCCAGTTAGCGCACTGAGTCTCTCTAACTCAAATTTCCTGGTGATTTGAAACACAGAGGCAAGGCTGCCCAGGGACTGATTTTCTGTTGGGAAGAGTGCCTTGCTCTTGGTACTTTCCTTGGCGTGCAGTCCCAGGAACACAGAAAGAACAGGCAGCCTTACAGGCCAGGCCAGGGATGTTCAGCCACATGCTTAGAGCCCGAGGGCCTGGCTAGCTAAGCTGGGCTGAGCTGGGTCCCTGCGTTGCAGGCTCCTGGTGCTCACCTGCATGCAGCAAGCTCCCTGGGATTAAGAATTTTCACTCGCTCAGGTTGGCTCCAAAGAGGTCCAGATTAATGAGCTTGGCTGTGCTTGGCTTCACTAGTGGCAAACAAGGCTGCTGATGTGAAACCACAAATAGGAAGGTGGCCTAAGAAATCGCTTTGGCTAGGACGCCCAGAAGCGGCATGCTAGCTAGCACCAGTCTTCCCTCTTCGCCCCTCTGCAGACATCACTAATCCACTGCAGCACGCTCTGCGTATACTGCAGCAACCTCTCCACACATACACGCTCCTGGCAGTCACAACCCATCGATGCCCTCATTCCTGGTGGAAGTAAGGTTGTGGCCATTTGATAGATGTCTGTGGGGGGTGCAGTGTGCATGGGAAAGAGACTGGTATGTCTTTAGACCTTGTGGGCACAGGGCCTCTGCTTGTATCATAAACAATTCTGGCCTATACCACAGTCCTCCTATCCAGTGAGGGTCACATTTAGTTGGGGCAGGAGAGCCACAAGGTTGGCCCCCAGACAAGCTCATTCTATAAGCGCCCAGGTTTAATTCTAATATAAGAAATACAGACACGAGAGAAGTGTTCCAAGCAAATGCAAGTGCTGGCTGCGAGATGCTACAAGTCCTAGCGGGGTGGAGGTGCCTTTTGCAGAGTGAAGCTCTGTTCTGGGACTCTGGTGACAAACCATTTGTCTCCCAGCTGTGGAGACAGCCAGGCCTCCCCAAGGAGGGGACAGGAACTGACACGGACCTAGCAGCTCAAGACTACACAAACTTGGGTCCCAAGTGATTTTCCATCTGTATGAGGCAATGTCAAAAAGTTTATGGAGAGGCTGACGCTGTGGCATAGCCCGTAAAGCCAACGCCTGCAGTGCTGCCATCCCATGTGGGCATCGGTTCAAGTCCCAGCTGCTCCACCTCTGACTCAGCTCTCTGCTATGGCCTGGGAAGGCAGTGGAAGATGGCCCAGGCCCCTGGGCCCCTGTACCTGTGTGCAGGAAGTTCCTGGCTCCCAGCCCCAGCCGTTGTGGCCATCTGAGGAGTGAACGAGCAGATAGAAGACCTCTCTCTCTGCCATTGCCTCTGCCTCTCTGTAACTCTGCCTTTCAAATAAATAAATCTTTTTTTTTTAAAAAAAGTTTATGCACAATGGAATTAAAAGATGAATTTTGTTGCAAGTTTTTTTTTTTTTAAAGCTACTGATAGTTTTTCATAATATGTTTTTCCAGGAACTTTTTGGAGAATGTCTTTATGTTAGCACTTTTTAGCCTTTGAGACCAATTCCACAGACAACCTTGCCATTAAGATTCCTGTGCCCCACATTAGAGGATCTGGGTTTGAGTCTAGGCTCTGGCTCCTGACTCCAGCTTCCTGCTAACGTGCACCAGGAGGCAAAGATAATGGCTCAGGCACTTGGGTCCCTGCCACCCAAGTGGGAGGCTTGAATTGAGTTCTGGGCTCTGGCCTAGCCCAGCCCTGGCTACTATGGGCACTTGGGGGCAGTGAACCAGTGGATGGAAGCTCTTATCTCTCCTTATCTCCAACAAATCAAGAAAGGAGGGAGAGGGGGCGGGGGAGGGAGGGAGAGGGAAGTTCTGTGAGGGAAGGAGGGTGGCACCGGCGTCCCATTCTCTGGGGATAGGGCTGCTGTGACAAGTCAGTCTCTGGGGGGCTTCCAGCTGGTGACAAATGGCAGGGCTGCCCTGGGCTCCAGACCAGCGTTGGAAGCAGAGGGGTCCCCAGAAGAGGCAGTAGGCAAGATGCTGCCTCGACTGCCTTCTCATGGACTCTCCGTCTTGCAGCATGGGCTCATGCAGCAAATACGACCCCAGGGCCTCCTGCAGCTGCACTGGGCCTCCTATTCCCTGTCCCAACAGGGAGCTTTACCCTGGGGTCACGTGCCCCATCGAGCACTCACTGTGTTCTGGCATGAGACCAGGCAGCTTTCTATGAATTCATTCTCTGACTCCTCCCAACCACTCTGAGAGGTAGGTGCTATTTTGCAGGTAGCCCCATTATACCGATGAGCCCAAAGCACAGAGAGGCTAGCAATTTGCCCGAGGTCCCACAGCTAGAGTAAGGGCCAGGATTTGATGCCGGCAGTCTGATTCCAAGGGCCTCGCTCTGAGCCTCGGACACCTGTGAACCATCACTGTATCCCACCATCATTTACTGAGCAGCTATTATGTGCTGGATTCTGTGAATGCAACAACACAGCTCCTGTCCCCAAAGCTCAACTCCTGCTTGAAGATGAACAGAACCACGGCTCAAATTCACCATCCACCTCTTCTTCCTCCTCTCATTGTGAGCCCCGCCCCCAAAAGCGGTCAGGACTCAGCTGAACTCCAAGCCCAGCCACTGTCAAACTTGATTCTCATCTAGCCTGTCAGTTTCTGAAACACAAACACCATCTCTGGCCTCCCACAGCGTCTTGTCCTGGAGGGGCTGGGGGTGGGGACGGGGTAAATACTGCAGCAGCTGACCCAGATGAGGGAGAGAGACCCACATACAAAGGACAAAGGAAGCCATGTGCTCCTTGCTCAGACCCTCCCAAGTGCACTGGGGCTCCCTCCTGTGTAATTTCCCCATTTGGGTCTGGAGGGCAATGTTTCTCACATTCAGCAGCCCAGGTCCTGCCCACACCCTCCAGGAAGCCAAGTTCCCCGTCCCCTGCACTTCTGCCTTTTCTGGGACCTTGGGCAGTGAGTGTGGGTGTGGGTCTTGCCACAGGAGCCCCATGCTTTTCCTCTGGGTCTGTGTGGTCTGGATCGTGGCCCAGTGCCCTGACGGTGGGACCAGCTGCTAACTCTTTTGGTGGCCCTGGGACGAGAGGGAGGTCCCTGGAGCCTCAGAGCACAGCTCCCGTGTTTGGTCAGTGCTCGGCCATCACACACATCAGGGATTGGGGTCACGCCTGTGAGCTGTGCACCGGCTGCTGTTGGTCAGGCACAGCTGGTCAACAGGCGGAACCAGTCACAGGAGGTTCAACGCCTCCTGCGGTTTCTGAATGGTTTTTATAGCGGAACCTGCCACCTAAAACCAAGGCAGTTCCAGAGAGTTGTGTACGTGAGTTTGACAGCTTCCTCTGAACCCACCCACTCCCACCTTCCCCTCTCTGTCCCTTGGGGGATTCCAGACCACTGGGGAACAGAGTTGGTACAACTGCCCAAGCCAAAACTGGTCCCTCCTTTGACGTTTTCCAACCTCTGCTTGAATTCTGCCAGTGACAGGGAACTCACCACCTCTCCAAAGTGGCCATGACACTGTTGCACAGTCTTTTGCTAGGACTTTTTTTCCTGTTACTGAGCCATCAGCCACCCGCCTCCCTCTTGCCTGGAACAGTCCCTCAATATGTGCAAGGGGAGGAGCCCTGTCCCCTCAGGGCTATGGTTTACCAATGGGAGTGAGCCAGCAAGCTCTCCCCGTTCTAAGAATATTTCCCTAACTCCAGCACATGCCCTGTGGAGCGGGCGTCCGAGCAGCTGCCATCGGAGCAGAGAGGACGGCCCAGCCACCCACAGGCTCAGTTTGCTTCTGGGAGAGGCTGGCAGGAACCCCGAGAATTGCACCCAGGCACTCACACCTGGACTCTCGCACTCCGCTGCGTCAGGTGTATGTGGGGCGCCCAGCTGGCCTCTGCACAGGCTTCGCCCACTCATCTCGGCCCCTCCCGGAGATCCTGGCCACCTGCAACCCTTGCCCAACGCATCACTCACCAGTCTGCTGTAGCTTACATCCTGGGAATCTTTCTCCACGCCACCTCGGGGAGCAGCCAGTGCCTCAGGACCTGCAAAGAAGAGAAACTCAGTATTAAAAGCAGGGGTGGCGCGTGGGGGGTGTCCAGCTCTCCTTTTGAGCAGGGCTGAGTTCCTGGCAGGCTGGGGTGGGGGGAATTTAAAAAAAAAAATAAAATAAAAAGACAATGGCCAGGACCCAGCTGCTCCTTAAACCAACCTCAAAAATCTCTGGGCTTTGTGGCGATTCTGAGAAAGACCAGGGGGGAATAAAAAGAGACCCTAACCCCAGATGAGTCAGCAGCTTGTTGGGAAGCAGGCTCTTAGAGGAGCAAAGCCGAAGGCGAGGGAAGTGGCGGGGGAGGCCCCTCTGGAAGCTCGCTCGGGCTCCTGGAGTCGGCGGTCACGGCCGCTGCTGGCGGCAGGCCAGGCCTGCTTCCATTTTGATGAGGACGAAGCCGGCCGGCCGGTGGAGACGATCCCGCAGTCCCTCCAACAGGCCCTAAGGCGGCTTTCTACCCTGGGAGCCGCTGCCAAGCGGACTCCGTGTGCTTTGAAGATTCCTCGGCGGAGCTGCATGCGCGCGCAGGGCGCGGAGGACGCGCTCACAGCGTGCCCCGTCGAGGCCCGAGCCCTGGAGGTGGCCGCCCCAGGTGAGCAGGGCCACCTGCGGGCACCTCTCCGGCACAGCCAGCTGCTGCCGGGCCTCCGCGTCTCACTCCCAGAACCCAGCACGCGTGAAAGCCAAACTTGGGTTTTTTCCCCCTTCCTTTCCTGAGAGACCTGAGCGAGCAGAGGGTTGCTCTGCTCACCCCTCCCTCTTCTCAGAGGAGAGCCTCGGTGGGGGGAGGGAAAGGCGGGCACACCTGAGCCAGAAGCTCCGGCCCATCGGTGATGTGGCCCCACCCGGGAGCTGGTGGGAAAGGCCAGGTCTCGGCCCAGCGGAATCAGAACCCGCATCTTAACCAGGCCCTCGGGGGACTGCTGGGCACGGTACAGTCTGCGAGCGCCGGCTTCCGGCTTCCGGCGTGGAAGGAAAAGGTGTGGCCGCCCGCTCTGCAGGTGGGGAAACAGGCTCTCGAAGTGACCACTGAGAGGGTGAAGGGGAGGCAGGCCCAGCTTCACGGGGTGGCCCAGGGGCAACTGTGTGCCAGGGGTGGGGGTGGGGTGACCTCAGGCCCTGGGATCAGAGTCTTTGGAGAGGGGTAGGTGTCCCTCCCCCCAGTCTGTCAAAGAACAGCGCGATCCCCCAGCCAGAAGTTGGGGCTTGCCCTCTGGCAGGGGAACTCCCTTCTGCACGGAATCGTGCTGACTGGTTCATTTTGATCCCTGGGAGCTGAGTTCCCTTCTCCACAGCTCCTAGAACTGATCTCCAGCCAGAGAAGGCACCTCTGGGGGACAAGCTGACCCGAGGGCTTCAGACACCGAATGTAGGACGGACAATGCTCTAGGAAGTGTTTTACAGCTCAGAGCCCTTGGTCCCCTGTGTCAGTGGGGTGCATCATTAGCCCTGTTTTGCAACTCAGAAAGTTGAGGCACAGAGAGGTCAACTGACTTCCCTAAGGTCACACAGCTCGAAGGCAGGCTGGGGTCGGATTGGTATCCTCTGACTCCAAGTCCAGAGGTGTGGACAGGGTAGTCCAGCTGCTCCTGATGGGGAAAGGGACCTTACCCACAGGTTTATGATGCTCTCAATCAGTGTCACCCAACCCCCTTGCTCATACCGTCCATTGCACTTGTGAGTTGGTTGAACTGAATAGACTTACAGACCAAGAGGGAGACGGCCCCCCGGGCTGGCATTCTTGGTTTATCAATCGGTCACGTGCTATACACATAGTTTATTCTGCTGCACTCGCTTGGATAAGACAGATCTGCTGCCCATGACACCCACTCACTCCGTGCTCTTCCTCTCGGCTCTGTGTGGGCGCATGCTCAGGTCTCCCTGGTCTCTGTGCAGAGGCCCTGTCAGACTGGCCATCTCCGCTACGTGTGAGCAAAGCCAGCAACAGCTCTTCCATCTGCCACTTGTGATACAGGGAACGGTCTGAGCCTGCCTCTAAACACAGCAGCCTCAACCCATCTCCCGTCGCCTTCCTGCAACTACCTGCTTGTTTTTAAAGATTTATTTGTTTATTGTTTGAAAGACAGTTACAGAGAGGCAGAGAGAGAGAGAGAGAGAGAGAAAGAGAGAGAGGGAGAGAGAGAGAGAGAGGTCTTCTATCTGATGGTTCACTCCCCAAATGGCTGCAATGGCTAGAGCTGAGCCAATCCGAAGCCAGGAACCAGGAGCCTCTTCCGGGTCTCCCATGTGGGTGCAGGGGCCCAAGGACTTGGGCCATCTTCTACTGCTTTCCCAGGCCACAGCAGGGAGCTGGATTGGAAGTGGAGCCCCATCGCCCCGCTTGTTTTTATAAACCGTCCTCTCTCGTTCTCTCGGTGCCTACGAGGGATTGGGTCTAGGACTCTGGAATCTCAAGCGCTATATAACACACATGGTCTAGTATTTGCCCTCAACCTATGCCCCATGCCCTCCCATATACATTAAGTCACCTTCAGGTTAGTTATTCCTAGCCGGAGGTAAATATATGTAAATAGTTGTTATACTGCCTTGTTTAGGGAATAATAATAATAAAACTCCATACACATGCAGTACAGAGGCAACTTTTCCCCCAAATATTTGCAGTCCTCTCAGTTGGTTGAATCCTAGTAATCCGAAGATTACTCAGGCCCTAACATTGCCGCTGTATTTCTCTTTAAACATTTATTAGTGAGCCAAGGTGAGAGCAAGCACTCCCATCCTGCTGGTTCACTCCTAGACACCTGCAATGGCTGTGGCTCCGATGGGCCAGAGCCGGGACTCCATCCAGGTCTCCCGCATGGGTGGCAGGAATCCAATTTCTTGAGCTCTCACCGCTGCCTCCCAGGGTGTGCATGAGCAGGAAACTAGAATCCAGAGCTGGAGCCAGGAGTCAAACCCAGGTACTCCAGTGTGGGAAGTGGGTGTCCTAACCCACATCTTAAGAACTAAGGCTAAATGCCCGACCCTGCTTGCCTTTTTTTTTTTAAATCATGCCCATCTGACAGTGCTCCATCATCACCAGGATCCGGCCCCTAAAGCAGTGCGATTTTTGAATGCTTCAGAATGCAAGGATCTATAGAGCATGTATCACTTGATGGTAGAAATGCCCACATAATAGAGGTCACATTGTAGGTACTGATAACCATATGTAACATAATGGCTATTAAATATCCAACATCAGTGCTGAATATGGTAAATGTTCAATTAATAATCATTTATTGACACCTGTACATCCTTGATTCTGTGCATACTGGAAACCTAGTCCCTACCCTGCTCTTAAAACACGGTACCAAAAAGAAGAAAGAAAAAAGACGGGGTGTGAGAAGGTATGAGGGCGCTCATATAAATGGAATTCAGAGTTTATTCGGGTGCAAAAAATGTTGAGCTCCGTGCATCTGAGGGCTCTTCAAGTAGTTCATGAAAATGTATACTATGAAGAAACTATGCATGAATCTTAAAAGGTTTTGGTGCCAAAATTAACATATCATGACTTTCCATTTTCCATGAACGTTTTCAGTCCCTTGGTACAATGTGTGAAGAAAGTGGTTCCAGGTTGGCGCCGCTCATAGCCCCCTCACCTGTCTCAGGCCGATGATCACGCGCCTTAGCACGTGGCCTGCACGCCCTGCCCTGTCCCTCTCTCCACTGTCCTGGCCTCATGCTGTTCCCACCTGTGGCTGCCTCTCCATTCTCCGCACCACACTCCCTGCAGCCTCGTGGCTGGGCTGCGTTCCCCCTCTTCCCTTCATTAACGACCTACCCTGCAGGAGTGACGGAAGTAGTTCACATTAAGTGGTTGGACATGCGTCAGCAGGTGTGTCCGCCACGCTCATTTCTGACAGCCCCTGTTATTATCCTCAGCTGAGGAGGCAGCCACTGAGCACAGAGGGGCATGGTGGCTTGGCTGGGGTTGCAGAGTGGATGATTCTCAGACCTGAGGAGTGGCCAGGACTTGGTTCTGTTTTCCCTGTTTGACCTTGCACCTAGCACACTGAACCATCACTCACTAACACAGACACTTGGTTTTAGGCAGCACGGTGGGAAGAGCCCAGGTCCTGGAGTTAACAGCCGTGAGGCTGGCCCTGCAGGTTCTATGCCCTCACATCAGTCGCTTCCTTTTTGGGCAGAGCCTGCCTCGAGGGGCGGGAGTGGGGACCCAGTGCCTCAGTGCGCATGCGCAGAAGCCTGCAGTTCCTGCATGTAGGAGACAGCCGCTCGCACTGGGAGCACAGTGAGTGAAGTCTAGGACTTCGGAGTGCCCGCCGGGCTCTGACTGGGCCCTTCTTTCAGCAGAACATGCTGACCACCTGCTTCAAAGTCCCTGCAAGCAGACACCTGCTGGGGGCATTTCCATCTTCCCTTTGGGGCTAGTTGCTGCCTGTCAAGTTGTCAGACACCTGAAGGGGGTAGGAAGGAAGCTACTGTAGGGGTTCCGCCGCGGGGGAGGACCAGCCTGCGCCAGGTCACAGGCTGGAACGCGGTTTACAAACGTTTAGCAGAGGAGTGAGAAGTTCCGGGTCCAGCCGACAGGTACGCTACATCCTGAGATGAACGAATCGCATCTCGGGGGAAGGCAAGCAAGCGGCAGGGCACAGAGCAGGGAGAAGCGGCCTCTGGCTGGAGCCCGCCAGGGCTGGACACAAGGAGATGGTCCAGCTCAAACCCGGTGGAAAGCTACAGCCTGCATCTGGGCCCGTGTGCTTTGAAGGCACCTGCTGTGCCCCCTTGTCGCCAACAGCAGCCTTCAGTTTCAAAGGGCAGAGGGAGCCTCCTGGCTGAGCTCCCTGCCAGGCACTGGGTGGAGTCAGATCCCACCTCTCTCTCTGCTGCAGCTCCAGGGAGTAGGTGTTCATAGATCCACTGTACAGAGGGAAAGGCTGAATCTGGGAGAGATGGCATATGTTGCCCAGAGTAACAACAGAAGAAAGTCTGGCACTGGACTTGAACACAGGCCTGGCTGAATAACCCTTCCCT